GGCGCTGGGGCAGGCTCTGGGGCCGGCTCTGGGGCAGGCACTGGGGCAGGCTCTGGGGCAGGCTCTGGGGCCGGCTCTGGGGCAGGCGCTGGGGCAGGCGCTGGGGCCGGCTCTGGGGCAGGCTCTGGGGCAGGCTCTGGGGCAGGCGCTGGGGCAGGCTCTGGGGCAGGCGCTGGGGCAGGCTCTGGGGCCGGCGCTGGGGCCGGCTCTGGGGCAGGCGCTGGGGCCGGCTCTGGGGCAGGTGCTGGGGCAGGCTCTGGGGCAGGCGCTGGGGCAGGCGCTGGGGCAGGCGCTGGGGCAGGCGCTGGGGCAGGCTCTGGGGCAGGTGCTGGGGCAGGCTCTGGGGCAGGCTCTGGGGCAGGCGCTGGGGCAGGGGCTGGGGCAGGCACTGGGGCAGGCGCTGGGGCAGGCGCTGGGGCAGGCGGGGGGCAGCGCGCCCGGGCCCTCGCTGGGCTGTGGGGCGCAGCTGGCTGCCACGCTCCCGTGGCTGCTCCGCCGGCAGCGGCGCGCTTGGGGCGCAGCGCCTTTGGAACCAGGGCGAGGTCGGAAGGAGGGCTGCGGTTCCCTGTCCACCCCGCGATGGTGGATTTTGAGCCCTCTGTATGAAAACTCAACAGCTTGGGTCCTGACAGGAGATCGGCGCCCAAGGGTGGTCTTCTCAGGGTCTAGTGCGCTTGAACGGCAAGATTTTTTTTCTCTTTTAAATTGGACAAAACCCATGAAACTTCCGTTCTTGCTCAGCGAAACAGCTGAGCCCGAAAGTAGAGAGCTGTGCACCTTTGGAGATAATCTGGCGATCGCTCTGGTCCATCGTAAAATATAGTAGTGTCGCTGCAGCTGAAGGATTTAAAACCACGTCCTGACACCTGTGAGAAATTCTTCTTTTGGTGCCCAAATAGATTCTGTGTTTGTCAAAGGATACAAATGCAGGTCTTCAGCAAACCCGTGCAAGCTCTTGGCCATCACTGTTCCTCTTTGTTCTGACATCCCTCCTCTGTGAAACGCTATCGCTAGGATGGCTGTTTCAGATGGAGACCTGACTGTGTCTCGATGTGCCGGGTCGAGATCCCGTCAGGTCTGGACAAGGCTGTTCCTGCAGCCTGCCCTTGGGCTATTTCTCTCTGCACAGCAGTTGCACAGTTTTTTCTTCGCGCGTTCAATCCCTGTGTGGATTTTCCTTCTAGGAGGGAACTCCCAATGCCAAAAGCTGGAGCCCTCGGTTATCTCCCAAGATCAGAAACAATCCACACAGAGTGTTACTTGTTCGCCATTTCGCATGCCAATTTTAATGATCCTCCTGTTGTTGTGACCGTGTTTGCAAAGGAGTTCGTAGCATGTTGGAACTGGATGGCCCAAGGAGCTCAGACGCGGGAGGGTAAGCCTTTAGTGTAAAACTCCCGGGCAGCTCAGCAACCTGAAAGCGCGGTGAGCAACCTGAGCGCGGTGTGTGCAGTGACGTACGCACACGGGCTCTTGCTTTGCAACTGCAGCTCGTGGCTCTGGCTTGCCAGAGGTCAAATAAGCCTATTGAGGGATATATTTATTGACTTTTGATCGATTATTTCTTTTTGCCTCCTCGTTAATATAAAAATCTTCCTAGATACTGTCGCGTCAAAGAAATGGTGTTATGCTACTGTGCTAATGCTGCACAGAGAACTCAAGCTTCAGTGAGCAGGCCAAACTGGATAACTAGATTTGAAAAAGGAATTTTAAAAATCCTGTTTTAAGTTGATTTACCTAAGTTGGGTATCTTTCTGGATTCACTTTCTTTCCCTGAAAACGTTTCTCCATTACTATTGTGCTACAAAAATTCTAAACAGGATGCTGAGATCAAAACTACCTGAAATAACCCCCTCTTTAATTAATGGAATGATGCTCAATACTAATGTATTTTCTCAATTAATGTTAAATAAAATTATCCTAAGATATCTTTTGGTTTTTGCATAAAGAAATGTAAAGCAATACTTCTTTCAGTACAGCTTTGCCATTGATCTGGTTTTAATTTTCATAAATTTTGCCCTCTGGTTTATAACTATTGCTCATAATTAGGGCTTAAGCACCTAAGTAGCCTCAAAGAAAATCTCTTCCAGGAAAGGCATAATAAAATTACTAGTCATACCTGTTCTTTCTTAATCAGCAGTAATAGCCTAATTAGTAGAATCTGTTTTTTTCAAAGTGGAGATGCATTCAAGCTGAGTAGCAGGTGTTTCTTCTTATTCAGCCCAGGTAATGCTGTATTTTTCAGAAGCTTGTGGTCCTGTAACAAAACAAACATGAAGATTTAGGCCTGTTTAGTTACACATTTAAGCCCACCGTTCACATGAAAATGTCCATATTGTAGGTCACTGCAGGACAACAGTTTCTTCTTTCAGAATTCAGAGATTTCCTACAAAATGGAAGTTTTCAAGGTTCAACATGCTCTACTACAAGACGGGCTCCTGTCTGGATAGTCTTTGGAGGTCGGGAGTTCCTCAACCAGGGGATTGTTCGAGTGAGCCAAGGTGAGAACAATTCTAAATTTAATGGAATCAAAGCTCTGTGCTATTGCAGGACCTCTGTCGGTTTGAGACATTCCAGCCTCCAGCTGTACTTGCTACAAATGACACGGTGTAGGCACAGGATCCGACAAGTTTACCTGTTTGCCTCAAATAATATTGCCAAGGCTGTGTATTTTGCCACGGGATAGTTCTTAGTTAGTGAGATATTCTTTCCTATGGAGTGCAATGTGCATTAGAGGTTACAGACTCTAATAAAATGTGTCAGCTTCACTTCCAGGAAAAAAAAAAAAAAAGCTTCTGTAAGGAAATAGCTGAAGGAATACCATAAAATAGCTTTGTTTTCTCATTTAGTTTAATAAGCATGGTATAAATCAGAAAAAAAAAAAAAAGTGCTAGTGATCAAACTTGTTCAGGTCACTGGGAACATAATGATTTGGATTTGTAAGATTAAGTAATCATGTCTCAGTAATGGATTTCTACCATCGTGCTGACCAAGAGCACACTTTATTTCGGACCAGGGCAAGCCCTGATGAGTCTTTGTGCTCTTCACCCCCCCGGGCTCGGGGCTGGGGGCGATTCCCCCCGGCTCGCCTGGCAGCCAGGATGAGCAGGGGAGGGAGGGGAACCCGAGCGCGAAGGCACTGCTCCCGTGCCCCTGCCCCCTGCTTGGGAACGGACCACGTGCCAACTCGAGGGGCTTGGGAAGGGCGGGGGACCGGAGTGTTGAGGTGCCCCCTGAGCCCCCCCCGGTTCCCGCCCCCCTCTCCTACTGCTTAAAGAACAGTGGGAACCATCAATTCTTCCTGACAGCCCAGCGCACCCGTACGTGGTTGTGGCCCGACAGGTGCCATACCAGAACTCCAAGGTCTCCAAGTTCTGGGTCTGCGCAGCTGGTAGAAAGTACCAGAATATTCCGAGTTGGGCTGAAGCGGAAAAGTACCTGATGAAAGTCAATTATCTCAGACCCTATAAATACCGGCCCTAATGGGGACCCCCTGAGCTGTCCCGGATGGCCGCGGGCTGTGACCGGCCCCCCCGGGCTGGGGTGCCTCTCGGGCTCAGGCTCCTCGGCGCTTGAGGGTCATCGGCTCACAAAGCCGACGGGCGGCCAGGGCGAGCTCAGACCCCTGCACGCTCCGTTATCGCTTCCGAGAAATGCTGGCGCGTTGTGAGTGTTTGCCGCAAACTCGGGAAGAGGGAAATTGCAGCTGCAGGCTGGCCTCTTCCACCTGCCTCTGCCTCTCTATGAGCTTAAATACGCCCATTTGCCTCCACAAGTGTGGATGTCTGCATATTTTGCTGGATATCCGAATATTTCTGCTCTGTTGATGCGCATGTTTTGTGTGTTTACATACATACTTATATATATTTTGATTTAGAATGCTTTGTAGCAAGCTAGTGTGAATCTTGTCATTCTTGAACGTGTAATCAAGTTGTTATTTTAATCGTAACATATTTTGCTAAATCACTTTGTTAATCTTGAAATCGACCGACCATTAAGTGCTGCTAAAATTTACCCTTTGCTCTACCTCACACCACGAATGAATCTTAAATTGCTATGAAGCGTAACCCTGTGAGATATTTTCATGCACAGCGCAGTGAGCCGACGGGGCTGTGCTGCCGGGAGGGTTTTCTCGGGGGGCCTGGAGGCCTTTCCAAGGCTTTTTTCTTTCCAAGCCTTTTACACTGGATGCACCCACCCTGTGAGCTCCCCAAACAGGGAAACCTGAGCAGGAAGCCGCTGAATTGGGGTGCGGGGTGTGGTGGGCGTGGGCCCTGGAGGGCAAGCAGGTAAGTAGTCACAAGGGGAAACGGGGGAAAAAGTGCTTTTTAAAAGCATCCCCCGAGTGAAGCAGAGGAATCGGCGCCTGTGAGGCTGATGGGGGCGCCTGCCAGCAGCGAGGCGAGGGAGCCCGGCGCAGCGTGAGCGTGGGGCGAGGATCCCGCGGGTGGGTATTTCTGCTCGCCCGCTGAGCAGTGACAGAGCCTGTAATTAACTGTTCGGGCTGGAGATGCTGCCCGGCCCTTCCAGGCAGCGGGAGCTCCGCTCCGGGGAGGAAGGGAAGCCTGCAGCACAGAATGGGGTTTTTCTTGGCGTGGGTTTGTAGCACAAAGAAGAGCGGCACGGCGCGGGCCAGGGAGCCGGGGGGTTGCTCTTCGGGGGGGGCTGCGGTGCCCCTGAGGGTGCCAAGGGCTCCAAGGGCCCATCAGTGGTATTTTTTTTTTTTTTACTTGCCTTCAAACATGTATTACAATAAATTGTATCCTTGTTATAAGTGTGTCTATATATAAAAAAAAAAACAATTTCAGTGTTTCATATCGTACACAGAATACATAGCACTGTGGATACTCTGCAAGCTAATGGCATAAAAAAGGAACTTGCTTTGTCTGTGTTCTCTTCCCAAAATACATTGTCAGGTTGTTTTTTTTTTTTCAGCTCGTGACTTGCCTTCATCCCATCTAGTTTGAATTACTGAGTCGGTATTCCAGGCTTGCTGACAAATGGATGACAACTACTCTCAAGAGTTTAATGGCAGCAGCGATAATTTTGGAGCCGAACGTCTCAAAAAGAGAAATTTGTCTGGTTCTAGTTCATCAGAAGAGATCGGGGAAGCTGCTGAACAGTGTCTGTCGTCATCTTCAAGTACTCTTGATGCCAGCAGAAAAAACATGAAACATCTTAATAAAGAAATATATAGACTGCCCAGCATAAAGGTGAGTATTTTATGAGTACTTCTGATACCTTTCGCTAGAGCATAGCACAGAATAGCTAAGGGCTCATTGCTTAGTCAGATGAGTGGAAAAGCTACATATTCTTAGCTATGATCCTTAATTCCTGCGGGGTTTTTTTAGGAAAAAGTCCTTAAATAAATCCCTTCTGCGTGAAATTTATAGAGCTGTGTATCCTTTAATCCCCTTTAATGGTGTTCTTTCCATAAAAGCGTAGAGTGGTTTACAGTTTTCACATTCGACATTTTGCATGCCAAAGAACAGACCCTCTCTTTCTGGATTTAAAACATGTTTATGTTTTTCTCCCTTAGTACTTTCATCGGGAAGGAAATGTCATATCAACAATTCCTGAGGATTTATTTCAAAAACTGCCACATCTTGTTTGGCTGGATCTCTGGTATAACAAGATTAAAGCTCTTCCCCCTGGAATCGGTTACCACAGGTGAGATCATTGGTCATACATATAATTTAATAACAAATGTATTTGTCTTCTATTTGCCTCACTGTAATTTCATTGTAACAGTCAGACTTTTACAAGCTTTTGTCTGGCGTTGACCTCAGTGCAGGAGAGCAGTAAATAGGCTTAATTTTGTTTACAAGAGCTCAGATGAGCTAATAGGTCCAATTAATATTACATAGTGAATTTCTAAACTTTTAGCTTTAGAAATGTAAGACCTGTTAGTCTTCTCATGCAAGTTTTTACAGGATGGTAGGTGAGGCCAAAACAGGGACTCCCAGTCACAAACCTCATGTCACCCCTAAGTGACAATCAAGGACAGTTTAGTCAAAGAACTTTACCCATTAATCTGGTGTTGAAGTAGTCTGACGAGGTATTCCCCATTGGAAGGATTAATTTGCTGTCACCGATTCAGAAGGGGTATGTGAGGGAGAAAGTACACCGTGTTGCTCTGACCCTGAAAAGTGTACTTACTTTCACATTGCCAGGATCACCAAAACTAACTTCCCACCATTTTTTTTTTTTTTTTTTTTAAATGTCTTTGGACAATTCCTCCCTTCCCATTCCGGAAGGGGAAGACCACAAATCACAATATGTGGTAATTAACAGGGACAAAGAAATTATTTTGCTACCGGAATAAAAAAAAAAATAACGGACTCGGGCAAGTCTATGAGAGTCATAAATCGAAGTGGTTCATTGCCGCTACCAGCGCGTTTATGGCTCTTCCTAGCGGCCGATGACACACAAGCAGAGGGCCCGGTCGGTTACACGCGTTCTTCAGCGCTGTCCACGCGCCGAGGACTGACAGCGCATCGGGCGTTACCCCTGTCCGTAACGCACCCGACACCTCGCTGGCTTCCAGTCAGTCACTGCTGTCCTGGGCCTGCTGGCTCATTAAATCTTGCGAGCCCAAACACAACGCTCTGTACACCCCTAGCTCAAGGCACAAAACTTTCCACCGTTTAAGGAAACGGCCGGACGTTTTCCATTAACCGTAGCCTGGCATGTCTGCTTCGGGCAGATCTCCGCATCCTTATCTTGGTTTTTCTACATCCCTGTTTGCGGCTGCCCAGGCTGCTGGCCGGCCGAGGTCGCGATGTCCTCACCGCTCACCAGCTGCACAGCACCCTCTTCTTCCTCTCTTCGCGTCCCGTTTGCCACAAATGTTAATCCAGTGTTGAGCAGCTGCCAGAATGTTTGATTTGTTTTTCTTTCCTAGAGGTAAAGAAATGTTATGACAGAAACTACCAAGCTTTCTTCTTGTTTGTTTTGTTGAATTTTAACAGTAAACGTGTGAAATTGCAACACAAGTAAATAAAAACCCACCAACTTCTCTGTTAGGATGATTTTTCACGTATGGTATGAGCAGCACCTTGCCTATAGAATACCATTGGAGCTGATGTGTTTGCTGCTGGATATTAAAAGCTATTTAAGAGAGTGCCACTAGAATGGCAGAATGAAGCGGTCAAAGGCTGGGAAGCAGGCGGAGCATGGTTTCTGTGCCCTCTCCATTTCACAGCTGCCCGGGGCCAGGGGCTGTGTGCTGCAAGGGGCAAAGGGACAGCCCCTGCATTAGCCCGGGTGGGCCCGGACCCTAAACACGCAGTAGCCCAGGGGCTCCCATCGGAGCCCCTCCGAGCAGCAGCATCTGCAGCGACGCTGGGCGGTTTACGTGCTAAGCAGTGCCGACTGTTTTCGGAGCATGGGCACACCGACTTTTTTTAAGAAGCTTAGGATTTGCCTAAATGTTTACAGATTTTTCAGGTGTATCAAAAAGGTATTATCTCACATGTGACACAAATGCCATAGATGTCGAATGTGACCCACGTCAAGCTGCTTCCAAGAATAGGACCACTAGTACTTCTGAAAATAAGAAGTGGACAAAATGAAATACAAATAGGTCATATTTCTTTCTAATCTCCTTATCAAAAAGGCTGATCGGTTTTAGCTCAAATTTAGCCTGAGGAACACACTCAACCCAAACAGTTGAAGTTCAGCAAAGTTGTAAACAGCTGGAAATCATGTGTTTGCAATTGGAACTGTCAGTATCAGACTTTAAAGTGGTAAACAGGCTTTGCAAAGAAAGATCAGATACTAAATACTGAAGTAGTTTATAATAAATGGACATAAATTAAAACCTCAGATTGTCCTACCCGAAAGCTTTGGGTGTGATATTTTCCAACACTGATGTTAACAATAGAGAAGTTTGGATTTGCCTTGTGGAATCCTTTCTGTAGTAGGAAACAAAAGCAAGAAAGAACTAAGGAGGAAAAATAGTCTTGTGTTTCTATTTAATTAAATGGACTTCACTCTTACAGTTGCTCCTATTTTCTGTTTTATTCAAAAGGCAATTGAAAACACTGCTTTTAGAAAGGGATCCTATAAAAGAGCTACCCACAGAGCTTGGTAAGTACTCACTTCTTTTTTGAAGATATCAAAGACATTTTTTGACTCGTAATGTTTAATTCTGTGGTTAGACTTTGATATATTTTGATTTTATCTAAAGAATGGTTTTAACTTACCACGAACATGTACCATGAGAGGAGGGGAAAAATTACTTAGGTTATTTATAATGATTGCCTCCATTGATAAGAGGGGAAAATCTTATTAAAATGTCTGCAGCGTTCTGGTTGGAAATGTTCAATGTTGTTTCTCTGAGTAAGGCTGAAGTAAAAAGCAAATCTCGGGCATTTACATAGTGAGACGTATATAGCTAAATGTGATTAGAGCCGAGAACTTCTACAGCAGTTTCTTACACTCCAAGTTGTCTTTATGGTTCGTAACTTCATTTTACTGCCTCTTTTTGCATTAGGAGTTGCTACTTTGAAATAACAAGTATTTCCAAATTAAATGATCCTAAACAAAACAGAGCAGGTTGCGTGGACTCCTGGGACGCTCCAGCTGGGACTCCTTGGGCTCTGAGTCCTCAGAGCAGAAGTGTTGGGGTGGGTTTTTATCCCTGTTTGATGTTGTCTGAGCTGTCAGGCTCCCAGGTGTCGTGCTGGGAGCCTGACCTCCAAAGCTGCCCCTGGAGCCTGGGCTTGTGTGGCCAAAAGTGGCTTGACCCGAAGATGGCCACACGGCTACAACAGAGCAGAATATTTCAGCTGGAGGTGTTCAGTCAGCCCTCGCTTCCTTCTGCCCGCGCAGCCGGCGTTTGGACGGCACGTGGGCGTCCCTCTCCGGAGTTGCTCGCGGCAGACGGCGCTGGCTGCTGTGCCTCGCCCCGCTCCCCTTATGCTTGTTCTCACTTTCCAGCACCGCCGGCATAAAGCCTCCCGCCTCTGGCCCTGAGATGACACCTCAGCTCGTGACTAAAGCGCGCCCGGGAATGTCCCCAGGTACTGAGGCCAGCGGCACAGGGGGACCCGTTCCTTGAGGAATGCCCTGTCCCCGTGGCAGCGTGCAGAACTCCCCTGGGCGCGGGTCTGGGGCTGGCGCTGCCGGGGGAGGCCTGGCTGGCACAGCCAGACGGGCATCCCGAGGTCCGAGCCCACCGTTCGGTGATGCAGTCGTAGTCGAAGGCCCGAGAATGTTCCCAGGCACTGATAAGCTTGCTGTTCCTTTAACAGCGCGTTGCTATCCCCACGTAATGCTGTGCTCCTGCCCCTTGGGCAGTGCACTGAGAAAGCGACCAGGCACGGCAAATACCCTTGCATCACAGCCGTTCTAGCCCCCTACTTTTGCTCAGATTTTGGCAGAAAATGCTGCCGGAGCAATGCTGACCCTCTTGCTTTCCATCTAGCAGTTATTCTGGACTGGTTCCTTTTCGAGGTTTCCAGCACCAGGATCTTCCACGCAGACCTGTCTCTCTTCAGCCCCGTGGGTCCCTGCGTTCCTCAGGCCTGCTACCCACGGGCTTCGGGCCAGCTCATCCTCCTGGGGCAGGCCAGAATCCCCTCTGCCCTCGCCCAGCTCTGTGCTGAAATCTTTCGCAGCCAGCGTGACGGAGGGGCAGGCGTGCTGCGCCCCAGTTGACCTGATGGAATCTTCAGGCCTTCACCGGGAAGAAGGAACCAGCTGAGCCCTGCAGTTCAGATGCTGTTTGCTCGGACACGATTCACACGTGCTGCCGCCTCTGCTGTACTAGTTAGCCGTTAGCTGCACCCTGAAACATGGCTTATTCCTGTGGAGTCAGCTCTCCTTCAAACAGCTCTTCTAGGAGATACTTGAACAGGGGATCAAAGCACATAAGGATGCAGGGAAGCGACCTCAAACTGGAGTTGCATGCGGTGACCAGTGCAGCCCTGCTGTCACCCATCTGGCTGCTGGAGAGGAAAGGCTGGTGGCCCAGGCAGAGGAAGGACAGGGCGTCACTCGTTCCGTTACTGCTTCGCATGAGGCAGCCTGTTCCTGGAGCAACTCTGCTCTTTCTACCCTGAGCTGAGCAGCGCCTGAAACAAAAACCCACTGATTTAAACGTCCTTGTGTTAGCCAGAGTAGAACAGGTCACTGGTGCGCTGGCCTTCCTGCGGTAAAACTTTGCAGTGCTGTTTTCGGGGCAGGGCTCCCTTCTGCTGTAATACTTTGGTCATTGCAGGTTTCCCAGCTCGGTATTTAGACGAGGGAATTCCTACCACACGCGACACTTACCCACTTCTGCCGGCTGCGTGGGTGACAGGTACCAGAACAGGGGCTGCCAGCCTGCCTGCTGCGTCGGAGCTTCGGCTCAAGCCACAGCAATTGGCAAAGAGCGCGGCAGGCTCTCCGGGGCCGGTTTGCTGGGCGGCAGCGCGGGCTGACAGATGGCTGGAGGTGTCTGGAGGGGCGCCCGCTGCCAGGCTTCCCGGCGGCACCTACGTGCTCCTTAGCGAGTGCTGCAGTGACAGCCGGGCTGGGCGGGGGGGGCCGGGTCCCGGCTGCTCTGCCCTGCTCTGCTCTGCCCTGCTCTGCTCTGCTCTGCCCTGCTCTGCTCTGCCCTGCTCTGCCCTGCCCTGCTCTGCTCTGCCCTGCTCTGCTCTGCTCTGCCCTGCTCTGCTCTGCCCTGCTCTGCCCTGCTCTGCTCTGCCCTGCTCTGCTCTGCCCTGCTCTGCCCTGCTCTGCCCTGCTCTGCTCTGCCCTGCTCTGCCCTGCTCTGCCCTGCTCTGCTCTGCTTTCCCCTGCCCTGCCCTGCCCTGCCAGCTCCGCTCGCGGGAGCGGCACCATCGCCTGCGCACATCCACTGCGGTGTTTTTAACGGCGGCAAGGCTGGCAGGATTGTTCTCCTGGGGCGATGCTGTCCTACCACGTGCCTTGCCCCGGAGGACCCGGTCCCTTGACAGAGCCCGTATGCCCGTGGCATTGCCACCTAGCAGTTGCGTATATACCACAGTTGCCCCCGTGTAACGGGTATAGCTGTGTGCCTGTGCTGGTGTGCGCACCCGTGATCTGCAGAACCGTGCCTGCCTCTGCCCGCCCAGCAGCAGCCCAGCGGCTTCAGCCTCGACTCCTTACACAGTGGACAACGTGAGACTTGGGCCAGCACAGTGATTTGCAGCTTCGCTGGAGGAGGGCGGGCGTAAAGCAAGGGCTGCCTTAGTCCCGGTGACTAAAGGCTTCCCGGCTCCCTGCGTGGAGCTGAGCTTGTCAGGACCCCCCAGGCAGGGGCATCGCAGGCTCCTCCGGTCACGGGGACCCGAGGGGATTACCAAGCCGTCCACCCGGTAAACTGGGAGGAAAACTGGGAATTGTGCTGTGACGTTATGAGGGGTTGTCAAAATCTAGTACTATTTTACAAAACACTCGTGTTTTGACAAGACACCTTTTTCTGACAAAATCATGTTTCGCGAGCTAATTCCCAGCCCGTTCTTCCTCCTACCCTTCTCTGTCGCTCTCCTGTCGGTGCACTTGCCATCATAACCACCTGTATCAAGAGACAGAGCAGGAGCTATGCTGACAGTGTCAGCACTGACTTAAATTAGAGTTGCTGTCCTACAGTGGCCGTTCCGTCATTCTTTGTGTTCTCTTTTTGCAGTGAGTAGAATACCGGGTTTTATGATGCTGGTATCATCAATACCAAGCAAAAAGTTTATAATGTAAACAGATGAGTTTGGAGGATGATCCATGATAATTCTCTGCTAGTCTTCATTTCTTGGGGGTGTTTTTCACCTAGGCCTGGAATGAATTTGCAATGTTTGCCTTCATTTGTTGAACTTTTTTATAGTGAAAAACTACTCGTTCAATGAATGAAAAAATCTTTCAGAAGGGGAGCTGAAGTCTCAGTGGTGACAAAACAGTTTTGTTATTTGCCTGTGGCTGTTCCTAGAGCGTTTATACTGGCTCACCTGATTTGTGTAGAATTATCATGTCTTCTGAATTTAACTGTCAAAGATGAAAAACTCATTGCCAGCCAACACGTTTCAAAAAAACCGTTTGGAACTCCAGCGTACTGCCTGCCAGTTGGGCAGTGCTGTAGGGAACTTGCTTGACGTGCCTTCTCGTTCCAGGGCTGCCGGGGCTCGCTGGAGAAGCCAGGAGAGCCACCCGGCTTAGGGGAGAAGTCACTGGACTGCCCACGCCTCGGTTTCCCCCGCTGTAAAATGGGGGTGAGAATATTGTGCTCTTCAAGCCTCCTGAAGAAAGCATTGCGTAGAAGCTCGATAACTTTATTGCTGCATCTACCCAAGCGTTCTTCAGAATGATTTAGGAGCAGCTCTAAAGCATGGAGAGTTCTCGGTAGGTGATGCCGTTTAAAACTTATGCAAATGATTTTTGAAAAGGATTCTGAAAGGTAGAGTGCCAGTTTGCCATCCTCCCAGGCGTGCAAGCGCAGTCAGTGCGTACTGCCACATCCCGCCGCCTGAGCTGTAGCGGCATGTCCCCTGTAACTCCCCCACTGCATTCAAATCGTGGTCAAACCTGAGCGGTTTTCAGCAAGATAAAAAAGCGATTTCATTTTTCCAGTACTGAAGTCATCTGTGTGATTCATTCTGATCGTTTCCATTTAAAAATAGTTTAAATTTCTCCATACTAAGCTATTTTAAATCTAATTGTATTTCCAAGTATTTCTTTACAAGGTGCATTTTCAAAGCCATTTCTTCTTGTTAATAATGTAGCTCTTTCTTTCTCCATTTATATTTTATGATTATTTGAAGTAATTTTCTAATTTGTGAATCGTGACTGTATGAAAAGGCATTCTGGTAATTGTAGCTCACTGAGCAAACTTTTGGTTTTGGATTGTTAGAATACAGTCAATTTACTAAACCTCCAAACCTCAGCATTCCTTACCAGCTTTACTGACAGCTAGCAATAAGATGTGGAGCACTGGGATGTGTGCTCGTTTGACAGATATAGTTGCATGTGAGCTCTGTGGCGATATTTCTTGACAAAAGCAACAGCAGTAATTACACAACAGCATGTTTAGTCTCTGGAATAAACACAGATTTTCAGTTTTAAGCACTTTTGTTACTCTGTAACATAATGAAGTATACAGTACTGCTGGTCTGTTGTATTTTTAGTTTGTAGTCAAGTAATTCTTCCTTGTGGGTTTTGCTTTGCTTTGGTTTGGATTTTTGAGGGGGTTGTTTTTGCCAGTTTGCCTGCCTGGGGTATTTCCCTCGGTCTCTGGTACTGGACACTCTTTTTTTCTGACCTTCCCTCAGAACTCTTGTCCTTCCGCGAGACTTTGGCAGGCTGATTCCACATTGTTCCCTCATAAACTTAACTTACAGTAAAACAACAGTATGTTTCCCCAGGGATTTCAACAAATAATTTTTTCAGTTCCGTTCCTGTTCAGTTTATCTAAATCACCTCAGTTGCAATTTGGGTGCAATTTCAGAACGATTCAGACCGTTCTGGTTTTCACTGCTTCCCAATTTGAGTTCAACATTAGCAGACTTTAAAGTATAATTCTGATTAAAATTTGAGTGTTCTAGCTATGGTCTGTGAAGAGAAAAAAAAAATAAGTTTTGAATCATTTTGATGTTTGAGCTGAATTTTCCTTAACTCTCAAGTAAGTAACTTTGTCGGTGTTGTGATGGGAAAACTGGTTTTCTTACACTACTGGTAAGCTACCAGTCGGCTAAGCAAAAAAAAAAAAAAAAAAAAAAGAAAAGAAAAACCCAGAAAAACATTGAAAAATGGGAATGTAGTTGAAAAGAAACAGGTTTTAGGTGCCTTTGTTCTGCATTTCACTGAAAGAAAGAATTTGGAGAACAAATGTGCATTCCATGGCGGTAATAGGATGTCGCAGTAAATTCTGTGTGTAGCTGTGGTATAGTTTTTGATGTAGCAGGTTGGACATACTGTCTCCTCGATGTGAAGAATCCATTTGCACTTGGGTCCCAAGTCTCTCTTCCAAGAGAAGGGATCCCAAAGGATCCAGCAGTTGTCCCCATCGTGACGTTTGGAAAAACTGCTTCGTGCTCCCCAGCTTCCCAGAGAACCCCGGCACCCGCTTCAGCTGCTCACTGCCTTCAGTTGCTCTCGTGCTGGTTTTCACTTTTTGTTTTTAGGTGTACTTTGTCAGTATTGCTGCAGTTGGCATTTCCAGAGAAGTAACGTCAAATGGAGTTGTTAATCACATTGTAAAATTTGTTTTGTAACATTCCTTTCAGCTTTAATTACTGGTAATTTAAAAGCAAATAGCTGTGCTATTAGTAATGTATTTGTCATTTCTGCAAGTAAGATTTTACAAAAACATTTTTAAAGAGCAAATACACTATTTTACCTTGTGATGAGTAAAGCAGATAGACACAGAATTTTAAGCAGTCAGCCTGTGGAAACTGAGGCAGAGTAGACTATACAGTCAAGTTGTAAATGGAGATTTAAAGTGTGACTCCGGTAATACAATATGAAAAATATATTCTCGTTGACTTGATTGAGACTGTCTATGTGGTTTTCAATGCTGCACTTCCTAAATACAGTATTATAAACCATATGTCAATCTAAAATAAATGTCAGGCCAAAAGATGGCGTTACCTTTCTTTTAGAGACCTGGTACATTTATTTTTTGAAAGATTGAACAGATTTCAACTGTTGTGCTTTTGTCTGAGTCAAAAATGGCTGAAAGTATTATTTAATTCTGCAAATCTAGTTAGGAAGGGAAAACTGCTCATTTTATTTTACTTCTCTGAAACATAATTTATAAATATTCATAAATAACCAGCATAAATCTGATTCTGAAATTGATTGTGTGTATTTTGCACTTTGTTCCCATTTTACCGGACAGCAAGCAGAACATGACAGATGACTTTCCACCCTGCTGGTCGTCTTCTCTTTACACACGTAACTGTGCTGCGTGTACTTCTGCTTTTGAGGTGGGCAGGAGGCTGACAGGCCTGTGTGATGCAGGGGCTCAGTAGCCCTTGGGAGGCTGAAGATTTATGTCCCTCTTGTTTGTCCTCAGGAGCTGGTGGCTCTTTGTTTCCTTGGGCAAGGATAGCGAACAGTGAGGCTGGGGGTGAGAAGCTACATAGACCCAGTGATGTTAGAAGTAGAAAATCAGAACAGTGCACTAGAAAGAAAAGAAGGATAACTGTAATTCTTTTCCTTTCCCATGAAAAAATGAAGTTAGGGCAAAAGCACAATAACAGCAGCTGGAGGATTGTGCTGGTTAGCTAAGCTGTTGGGAGAAAGTTCATTTTGTCTAGACTAATCTTGAATGGGGAGAATCATTTGCTTAGAGAGAAATTAAATATTTAAAAATTTTTAAAAATCCAAAACATTAAAAGATTGCAAAGCTATTAAGCAGCAGGAGAACATAAGGGCAAAATCAGGTAGAAGAAGAGAAGGCCTGAAAACAATCACAAGAAGAATGACAGGCATAAGGGTCTGTTTTATACAAATTCATGTGAAACGTCTCAGAAACCAAAATATAAAATGCCTGAAGTCATTAAGGGGCAGAATACACGCCCGCTGCATGCTGCATCTCTGGCTCAGCTCAGAGATGAGTTCCCACGCTGGGAAAAGGCAGGTGTGCTTGACAGAAGAGGTGACAGTTCTGAGGTTCAATTAAAAGTATATGAAGTGATAAAATACGCCTTTGGTTCTGTGTACCTCTGGTGCAAACTCTGGAACTGGGTTTCAGCTGACTTCTTTTGTCACAGAAGCCTCAGTCTGAAGGTGGCCTTGATTAAGCATAGCAAATCAACAACTTCAGCGTTCCGAGGAGTTACTTTCAAGGAGAAAGCAAATATTTCAATGTAATTCAGTCTAGTCTGTCCAGAATAGCCTGAGATTTGAAAAGAGAAATATAGCCCATCAGGAATTTGGTAATAATCTTAAGTATTACGGTATTGGTAATACTGTGCATATATAAACGTGTTAGTTATTTGTAGCTCTAAAACCAGCAAACTAAAAACCACTAGACTCGGCCAAATAAATAATTTAAAGTAGTATATAGTATCTGCATATGCAGTAATGGTAATTATCGTAGAAATCACAAACACAGTAAATACCAGTCATTCACTTTGACTCACCTGATATATATATATATCTGAAAACTCATTCATCTTTCAAAATGTCGAAAGGTTGGGCCCGATGATCTTTCGAGGTCCCTTTCAACCTGGGCTGTTCTGTGATTCTGTGTTTGCTAAATTATATTACTTCCCCAGGAAACTTAACTTCATTGACAGCCTTGAATCTGAGACACTGTCCACTTGAATTTCCACCAAAAGATGTCATACAAAATGGATTAAAATCCCTCCTGTGCTTTCTTCGGGACCGTGGGAATGGAAAACTGCTCTCTGTGGAGCCAGCCACTTCAGGTATGTTGGAGATGTATTTGTGTGCGTCTGCTGTAATTTGGCTTGAAAAAGGTGTGAACCACGGGATGCTTTCCTTGTGGGCCCTCTCGCTAGTGCGTGTCATCCACCTTCGCCTCTGAAAGGGATATTGCTGGCTGGAATAAATGAGGGAAAATAAATGCTTCAGTGTTGTGATTAAAAAAATCAAACCGTGAATCTTAAACGTCTAAGTGGAAAAGGAGAGGTTGTATTTGTGTAAGAGGAAGTTTTAATTGCGTGTGATGCGCTTAGAGAAACAGAAGACGAAGTTTCAGCAGAGGCTGTTGTTCAGAATCAGCAGAGGAGAAGCACAAGCAGAAGGTTGGGCTGTTTCACTATGATGGGAAGTGGGTGGTGTGGGTGCCAGGCAGCTCATCAGGACCGCAGGGAGGACAAGAATACAGGTCGGTGACATTTTATAGGGGGCATGGGGGAAACCGAGATATTAGGGAAGTGAAAGAGGACACTTAACCGGCAGATGACTGGGGGAAAAAATGGAAATACGGTACCTGACTTACAGAAAAAAGGTGGAGCTGGTAAAATTCCAGATGGGTCTGTAGCTCCTGTTCCAGGACACAGACTGGTTCAGGTACTCGGGCTGCTGCGGACGCCGGGGCGGTTAGTGTCAGCCTCCCGTGGGCGTCAAACCCAACACCTTGCCCTCCTCGACTTGCCCAGCCCGGCGGGTCCCGCGGGCTGGGGGCTGCCCGGGGCGGCGGGGGGTGCCGCTGAGCACCGTGCCGGGGTCCCCGGGAGCGGGGGGGCTGCTGCCCCCCCCCCCCCCCATTGCAGAGCCGGCGCCCGGCTCCCGCCCCGCTGCTCGGCCTGGGCACGGGGGGAAAGGGGAAGGGGAGGTGGGCCCGGGGGAAATGCCTCCCACCCGCCTGCGGGCCACGGCGGGGGGGGCACGGAGGCATCACACCCGCATGCACGCCGCAGCACGGGCCGCCTTCTTTTTAAAGAGTGAGTGTGCTACAGCCACACCGCACACCGTCACCCATGTTTGCAAGCTGCTCCGCACGCTTCATCCGCCTACCAGGAGGCCGACGGTGGTTTTGGTGTTTTCATATCGTGTCCGAGCTCACAGCCTTCAAAGGCAAACACAGTTTGTTCTTTATCACGCTTTCTCTTTTTTTTTTTTTTTTTTTCCACAGTATCGCAGTTATAAATTTACATTAGGAGGGGAAAATTAAGAAGTTGTCAGCAGAGAGGAAAAGATGCAACGTAATTTGCATTATTTATGCTCTGATAGACTCCAGAAGTCATTAATAATAGAAATACTGGTCATATTCCCACAGAAGACCCTTTTCTCATACTTAAGATTTCCTGTAATGAAGGCTAATTACTGTGGACACCATGAGAATCAGACTGGAATTAGGGGTGTTAAAATGCGATATCATTAAAGGGAACGCAGTAGATTCAGAGTATGAGTGAGGCACTTAAAATGCTAAGCAATATGGTGAAATATAAAAATATCAGTTCAAAATACCACGATACTGAAAATGAAATCAAAATACTGATGTAAAGATAATGACTGGGGGGGGCGGTTATTAATCTCAATTCCATGTATGGTGTCGCTAAAGGAAACGATGTGCATTTTCAGAACTTCCCAATGTTGTCTTCATGTTTGAAGACCTGGTTTACAATTCTTGTTTTGAGACAAATTATATCCCAGTGGCGTTGCTTAATTACCACTATTTACTTTAAAATTTCACCACGCTTCAGCATGACTGGAGAGCAAGCAGTGTGTTTTTCTACATGGACAACTTTTATTTGCGTTACCAGTGCTTAATGTTTACATCACTTTTTTTATTTGAATGGACATTTGTTTTAGCATGCATAATAGGTAAAAATCTGCTTGCTTAATGTTAAGTCAGCAGGATGCAAGTGGAGTTACAGAATATGATACCAGCTGTATTATCCACCCAGCGTGGCTTTTATACTTGCAAGAGATCTTTCTGCGCAATCTGCAGCTGGATTCGCGTGACGTAGTAGAGAAGGAGCTGGTGGCTACTTGCGCTGGCAAGTGAAACTGTTTTCTCAGAGGGCTCAAATCAAGGCTTAGTTTCAGAGCACCAGTTCTGTTAGCTTCACACCGATTTTGATACCTCCTCAAGCAAGGATCACGCTAGAGGAGAGCTGTTGTAGGTGGAGAGCGGAGACAACTGGAGGAGGTGCTCGAGGAAGGGAGCCCGGCCCCTGCCTGCAGGCAGCGCTCCTGGAACCTGCCTCAAGCCACGTCCTGTCACAATTAGTGTAAATTCATCATCTGGAGGAATGTACAGGGCCTTCCAGGGAGGAAACCAATCATACATTAAACCAGACCTTTTAGGATGCAAGATTGCTCTTTTAAATACACTTTACTGTTTTAGAAGTCCAGTCCTAGTGTAGTTTTTAATGTAGTCACAACGAGAGCGCTCGAACCCCAAAGTTCTCCAAGGTTCTGCATTTCACAGAATTGCACGTGCTACAGGAATCGGAGCAGGCCATTGCTAAACACTGTGACAAAAAATCAGACGGGTCCTCTTCCTAGGAAGGTAGTCGGTGGCCCATGGAAGCAGGTGGGCTTCATTAAGTGTTTGGGGGGTTTTTTGGTTAAATACTGGCATTTTAATATAGGAACATATACTAGTTGTTTAACTTATTTTTTGCTGTACCTTCTGTGGAATCCGTCATGTTTACTGGTGCACTGTGCTACGTTAGTTTACAGAGCACTGAAATGAAAGGGAAGTAAGATCTTAGTTTAATTTGTGCTTCATTTGTGGATACATAGTTTGGGCTAATGTTTGTTTTTCTGGACATAGGCCTAATGACAAGTGTAGGTGTTTACTTGGTATTTCCATCAACAGCAGAATAATGTTTAGAATTGAATTAGGAAAACCACTCAGGAATAAAATGCCAAACATTTGCCATTCATTTTCAATGAGATCTAATGTGGCTCTCAGATATTCAAAATGATGCCTTTTATAGACTGTCAAAGTGTTTTGGTAACAAATCCTTATCGTGGTTGAAATTAGAATGCTTCAGAACAGTTAAACTAAGCTTCCTCTAGCATTCAAGTGAGTTTTAGCAAGCAAATTATGTAAACAGAAACAAAACTTCTGTGCAGTAGAGTCCACGTTCTTACTGTACTTATGAATGTTCTCCTTTGCAATTAGGAAATTGGTGTATCTTTGAGCATTTCTAATTGTTACCTAAAGTAAAAAAAAAAAAAAAATTAGGGTAGCAACAAAAACATGTCTTTTTAATGTTAGACTAAAGAAATAAAACCCCTGAACAGAAGAAAACATTCATCTTGGGGGCGTCTGGCAAAGTATATTTATGTACTGTACCCCTAACACTAGTGCTAGGAGCTCATCATGAGCTGAAAGAGGTTGGGTTGTCTTGATTTTGTTTTTAAAGATGTGCAGGTTATGAAAATAGGCTGTCAACTTTTCGTCTTATCTGTCTGTGTGAGATGAACCAGTATTATTTTGCAGAGATCACTTTCTATACTTAGCAACACAGAAAGCAGTTTAGAATTAGTTACAGCTGATCACTCTTCAGGTTAGTATGTGAAGTGAGAGTTTTGTCTGGAAATTAGCAGAGTAGTGTCTGACGGTAGTGTGGTGTTTATTTTGTAAAGTGGACTATTACAGCTGTTCTCTCTTACACGTTTGTTATACGCTTCTTTTCAAAGTAAACATGTAACATACCTGAAACACTCTCGTTAGTTATTTTGGTCTGTAACTCCCTTCAGTGGTACACAGTCTTGAAAATGTTGAGGATTTGTTTTGTGTTCTTCAAAATAACAAATCAAAAGCGCTTTTTCTGCTGCTTTTGTCTGCTTAAGAACGTGGGATTGCATTCTCTTCTACTTAATTCAAACACAATCGGTTGGAATGACAAAACAATTGCAAATCGTACTCTGGAACAGTGTTGGAAGTTAATTATGTTGTTATGTTTAATGTTAGTTTAGATAGTGGTATATTTAAAGAAAAATAATCCCTTTAATATTTAGAATCTGTGGGCATGCACATGAAGTTTGGGAACCTTCTGTAATATGCAAGAGTTTCTTGCTCCCTCCCACGCGGCCCATCTGTTCGTGTTGGATGAGAGCAGTGTGTAAGAAGTAGTATATACATACTTCGTGCAGAGAGGATAACAGAATGTACCTTGGAATAAGGCTTCTCCAAAATGCGAGAAGAAGAGGGAGATGAAATCCAGCGTGTTTCTTCTCCAGGGTTCAGGGAACCTCCTGAGCCTCCAGTTTGTAAGAACCCGACCTTTGCGTATCTTACGGTCTCTCAACCCCGCGGCCAGAGGCGAGCGGAGATGCAGTTGGCTGTCGGGGTTATTGTTCGGGCAGCAGCACGGCTGGGGCACAGACCCACCCAAAAAAGAGGATGGATTCTGTGGTGGGCAACTATTGCCGAGCTTGACACTTCTGTGGGTGCCCTGATAACTTACCGGTAACTCTGGTTTGTGTACCTAAGTGTAAGTCACACTTTGGAGTGCAGGGTAGATGTGCCCCGGAATTAATCATCATCAGGTAAAGATGAAATTTCAGCTATGTGTGAAGATTAATCCCTGTAAAGGTGTAATTTGAGATAATGCTAAATTTGTTTAACCTGAGATGCCAGTTGGGATGAACTGCGAGGTGTGCTACGGCTTTCATCAGCGCTTTGGTTTTCGCCATTACGTGACAATACATTAACTATTTAAATGGATTATGTTAAAAGATCTTTCCTGCTTTGACTCACAGATTGCATTTGGGCACTTGTAGTATGTTAATGATTATTGTATCTGTTTGCTTTGCCTTTTTACTTCCTCTGATACATGGAACGTATTTTTAACTACTATTCATCATACAGAGAGCTCTAATTCAGTCATACACCGTTCATGTAATACTTATTTCTACCCACATCTACACTGGCAGGCTATAAATGCTGCAGGAAAACGGAGTGAGGAAGTTATGGATTTACACAGCCTTAACTCAGTCCTTATATCTGCACGCATTATGTGAGTCTTGATTTCCACTCTTTTCTTCCTCAGAGCAGAGATCCCAGCATACAGCTGGGATTTTCCGCTCCCGCGTCCCGCTCTGTTTCAGGGTTCCCTGCTGCTAATTCGGTGTATTTGCCACGGCTGTGCCTAACTGCTGCTAATTCGGTGTATTTGCCACGGCTGTGCCTAACCCTTGCTGGTGTCCGCAGCGGACCCCCGGCTCAGCTGCGGGGCCGAGGGTCCCCCGGGGGAGGCGGGGGCTCCGGCGGGCCGGGGGCCCTGCTCCTCGGGCTCCGTGTCAGTCAGAGGCATTAAGCACTTAGCAGAACTGATTGTGAGTTGAATCGGCTCCTGCGTGGTAGAACTGATAAAAAGCTGGGTGAAGAGTTTGCCAGATTGTGAGATAGATAAATTATCGATCAGAAGGAAGCCGCTGTTCTGCTCACATTCATCAGTAGACTGTTGGTTCCTTCCAGAACACGGATTGCTCTAAACTTGTGAAAAATCTTTGAGTAAAATATGTATTAAAAAAAGACCAGCGAATCCTACTTCTGCTAGACTGATTGACTGACGTTATCTAAACATTGTGTTTTGCTTAAAGAACAATTCATCGACACGTAGGACTACCGCCATCTCCCTTTAATTCCAACAGAAATGCCACCTGTTGAAAAGCTAAACGTAAGTGAACTGTTGCAGTCCGGTCTGGAGTTGTCGGATGAGTGGCCTAACGAAGAGGAAAAGCTGCGATTTCAGAAGCTGAAAGAAGAAATTATAAAAGATGAAAAAGAAGAGTCTCTTGCTGACGAACATGTAGGTGCAACCCATGAACCGCGGGAAGAAAGAAGAGCTCTGCTCGGAGTCAGCAGGTCTTTCCAGGTGACCAAGCTTCACGCCGTGGGGTCTGACCGGGGTCTGAAGTGCTGGGAAACTGTTGCTACTGGAAGATACAAAAGCAGCTTAATATGCATCATTATTGTCAAATATGTATTTGATGAATAAATGGTATTTTTGACATGAGTAGATAGAATACAAAACAACCTTTATATTTTCTAATACTTTAAAGACTTTTCCCCCAAAATTAAAAAATGCTATCCATCTTTTTTATTTCCTTATTTACTTCCTCTTTTGATAATTGTGCCCTTGAATGTCTAAATTCATTCTACTGAAAAATACAATTTTATAAATCACAATAACAAAGAACTGTAGAATCCTGCCAGTAACTTAATTTTCCATTTCTAATATATACAAGATGGTAAATAACTACATGTAAGTACAAGATAATACATTAAATTCCTTTACACTGGCATACAAATCATTTTATAAATGCTTTATTTGTCATATTTCATAATATGTGAGTAATGCAAACCCTATTTGTGAGAATTTTTTGTTGAATCCTTTCTGAAAAAAGAAAGTACTTTTTTTTTTTTTTCCTAAGAGAATAAATACACCGGAAATGTTCTTAATTTTTTTTTTTTTTCAGTATTTACCATGATATCAGTGACTCCCCCCTCCCCCAATATTCGTGAATGTTTTTATTGTTACCTAAATATTATTTCTCAGCACTGTTTTTTAACAAACTAGAGCTGAGTGATTTTATTTATTTATTTATTTATTTTTAATATCGACCATTTGATCGGGTCTCACACTGCAGACAAAACAGGGAAGGGATTTTTGGATGTCCTGTGAATTTCTGCCTTGCCTCCGCCCTCCCCGGGTGGGTCCCCTGCCCCTCCGGAGCGGTGGGTGCGCAGCGGGGGGCCGGGCTCCCCAAACCGGCGGCTGCCCTGGGTGGGGGCCGGCCCCCCGCCGGCGGGACACCCCCCACCGGGCACTGCCCGCCGCCCGCGTCCTGCCCACCGCTGGGTACCGATACCCTCATGGCTTGGGGTTTTTTTTTTTCCTTTCTGAAGTATGAACGGTACGGAGAAAACCTGGCGGAATTCACGGTTTATGCTTTACTTTGTTTCCTCACAATACAACCCTGGGCTCGCAGCGGTTTCTGTGAAGTAATTACTCAGGTAAATTACCTAAGCATGGCTTTTTCCTTTCAATATTTTAAGGGTTATATGGAAATAAAGCAGACTGCTCATACGCAGGATCACTAGTAGATAAAAAACTGCGTTTTGGGCGTGTATTATCACCATTGTTAAATGTGCTCAGTTTTCTCTGTAGTATTTAAACAACAATATCAAGCCGTCCATTTTAAAAGGAGAACGTCCCTCCAGAGCAGTAAGTTTATTGAGTTTCTATCCTGTGACAGGACGACTCCGGCAAAGCCAGCTGAAAAGGGCAGGTTGGGAGCAGAGAGGGAGCTGAAAGAGGAACGAGCTTTACTTGAGCACAGGAAAAGGCAAGTGTTACAGGGTAATTGTCTTTTAAACATTGTGATTTAGCTGCTGAATAGATTGCCTGGGTGACTGTTTATAAGGGAAGAGGTAACTTCAAATATTTTGCGCTACAAGTGTAAATATATACAGTGCTTTCCCTCACAAAACGCAAAACAAGGCAGGTGGCTTGCCAAGCTTCTTACCAACTTGGCCATCAACTCCGTGAATTCCCGTTTCAACTGAGCAGGAAACAAATTTATGTCAGTTAATTCGTACGTTACATTCCAGGTAAACTTAAGTGTAACTTTAGCTTTGCTGACAGAAAGCTACAGCTAGAGGGCAAACTCTGCACATGACATAAGAATGTGACATTTCTAGGGTATAAAAAGTATATGTATTGAACAAATTTTGCTAGAAGGACTTGTTTATATCTCTGCATATTTTCCCACTGTATGCAGACATTTGGACTGCTGTTCAGAAATCAATCCACGTGTTCCAGACTAGATCCAAGAAATGAGGCAATGTTAGTCCTAATTTGTATCATCTTAATACATTTTTTTTTTTCTTTTATAACCGGAGCTATAGAAGTCATGCTGCAGAAGAAGGGCATCTCCGTGGCGGTCCTGGGAGCACGGGGTGGTCGTGTCGCGGCAGGGCAGTGCCCGGGATTTGGGGGGTACGCTCTGTGTCCCAGCAGTTTGGGCCATGCCCCCGGGCTCTGGGGCTCCACCCCCGCCCCCGGGGAAGCCGGGGGAGCAGCAGGGCCGGGGAGTTCTGCCTGCCCCCTCGCCCCAACCCTCCCCTCCCCGTCAGGCTGGGGCCACGGCCGGCTGGGCGCTCCCCGCTCCGGAGGAACGTGTAGCCGGGTGCTGGCGTTGGGCCGTGAGCCATCGCTGGGGCCGGGGTTTGGTAAAACCGATCCCGCTGCTGCTGGGAGTTACCCAGCGCGCCGGTGTGCGGCGCGGGAGGGCGATGGCTGGGAACCCGGCTCAGCTCTCACGCCGTCTCCCGCCCCGCCTTCGCATCGCGGCTCCCTTGGGCTGTGTTCCCCACCCTCCTCGTCCTCGGGTGAGAGGCTGACCCAGAGGAGGTGTTGGCTCGGCTTCGTGTCGGACCTCGAGGCGAGCTTTGTGAACGGTTACAGGCAGGATATAGAGGCTGAGGAAAATAATGGGAAGACTTTAGGAAAGCATCCAAAATGAGAGACTGGGGACACTGTCTATTTTTAATTAAACTATTGATTTATTTGGCATTACTATAGTTGACAAGTTTTTTTACAAAAGGCGGTGGAAATGACGAGCGTTACTCTGTTGACGTGCCAACGGCCGTACAAGCAGGAGCCTGAAACTTAGGACTCAACCAAAGAAGAGCTGGAGAATCACTGCGGACACCCAGAGTCCGAGTAGACACCATATTACTGGGACCTTTATTGATGAACCTTAAAAATCTGATGGGCCAAATTACGTTATCCAGTAGAACTTTTCGTGGTACAACTCTCTACTACTTCTTTATGTTCACGCAAATTTACTCCGTATCTAAACTTACCAAGTTTAAACCCTGGTCCAGAGATGAACCGTGTACCTTGCCACCGGTCCTCTGAGCGGTTTCGTCACTCTGCGTGGCTTTTGCTCGAATCTGTGCCCTGCTCTCTGCTGCTATATTCCTCCACTCAGCTGGGAAGTGAGGGCGGGTCTTCGCAGTTCTCACCTTCCTGTGGTAAGTTTATATTTCATGAAGGTGCCCCCGGTATTTTATTTCTCTTCGTTAGGAATCAGTATGTCTATCTATGTATCTTTTATTGCTCGGCTGTAAATGGCTAAGCATGCAAACAAGAGTGGTAATGCTCATCTCTTAAGTTATGGCTTTAAAAGTTTGCTATAAATCAACTTTTTCAGCAATGAGGAAGTGCTTCAGGAATGGCGCAGCCAAGGGAAGTTGATGAAAGAAGAAAAAGAAGCGTTTAGATTTTCACCTACAAATGCAGACACGGTATGTAACAGAAAATAGCAAGGTAGCACACTGGGAAAGCAATCCACTAATGGTATCCTTGGATTTATTTTATTTTTAGCCCATATATTGAAGTTTCAAACTTAAAAAGAGAAAACCAAGACTTGGAATGCCAGCCCTCTGGCAACGGCTTTGCAGACCCTTTCTCAGATATCTGTGTGGACTGTGGCTCCTGCGCGAAGCGCTGCAGCCCCACGTGCAGTGTAGGAGTTGCCAGATCCTTCAAACTGCTGTTCAAAATCTGTAGTGGCTTCAATAATCAGGCTGCTTGGAGGCGTTGAAACAGAAGCGCGTATGGTGAAATACGATTTTTTTAAAATTATTGAACGCCTCCGATATGAGAAGTTGCCTCTGCCAAACTGAATTTGAAGTCGGCTGGATTTTCTGGTTCCTCCAGGAATTTGTAAACACTGGCATATGAAAGGAGGGGACCTCACTTCTGGTTCTTTCTGAGTGACATAAAAGGCCTGGAAAGTTTTTCTCCCCAAAGTAACAAACTTTAAAACAAAAAACTCAAAAAAAAAAAAAAATGATCCCTTTTAGTTTTGCCATTAGATTCTCATTCTGTATAATACAGTATTGCAAAAGATGAGATGGTGAAAATGAATACACATGACTTTTCCAGTGCTCTGGTGTGAAAATGAACTGCGACACAGACACTGAGTAAGGCAGTTAGGGATGATCACTGAAGGAACTTGAAATGCTGTGAGAGTTTTTCTCTTGCTGTGAAGAATTCTTTCATCTCAGTTTCATGATTGCTGGGCATACTACTTCTAACCTTGAAAGTGTAGAAATACACCCAAATTTTTCTGAAGTGTCAGTAGGTTTTAAATTAACATGAATTACACCTTTCAGTGATGAGAAGGGGATTTGTACAGGTTTAGTGTTACATTTTACCGATACCTGTTTAGCAATACCTGGTACTCGAAAGATAAAAAAGGACCTTTGTATAGCACATTACAGCCTTTCTAAAAATGCAGGAAAACTTGCAGTTTAACATCTGACACAACCAAACTATTTTTTGTATACGTTTTAAAAGTAAAAAAGCAGCCATACTACCAGCTTACTGGGCTTTTTTACTGGTTGGTTGGTTGGTTGGTTGGTTGGTTGGTTGTTTTTTAAACTCAGATTTTTAAAACAGTCAAATTTATGTCACTAAACGCATCAGTGCTTGGAGAAATGTCTCTGGAAACTGCAGCTGATCGAACAGGAGATGACAGGGCTTTACCATCTACCGAGGGGCCTCTGGCCCAGGCGCCCGGCGCGTCGGGACGGGCACCGCACGCCGTCTGCCCTGGCCGGGCGGGACCCTGCGCTTCGGACAGTTTATTCGTGTTAATACAACCCCTTCTCACCTTTCTGCTCGCCCACAGTGTGACATTTTCCACCAATTAAACAGTATTTCTTCATCCTGGCAGCAGAACTTTGCTTAACCTGCAGAGCCCCGGGGATGTCCCAGAGGCAGCTGCTGGGGGTCGGCGCTCCCCGTTCCTCTCGCCGAGCGGCGGAGCGTAAAGGTCGTATCTGGTTACTTCAGCAAAACAGAAATTTTGATTTATGCAGGTTTTTTTTTTTTTATATCCGATACTATATATGATATAGTGCTAAAACGTTTTGGAAGCGGTGGCTGGAAAAGTGGTACGAGCAGGATGTCACTCCATGCAT